GCACGTTGCAAAATATCAGCGTGGTGTGTTTGCAGCCTTAGACCACACTTGGACCTATAAAAGGGCTACATCAAGACGATGATTGTACAGTCTCGATACATTCTTACAAACAACCACACAATTAGATAAACAAGATGTTCAAGTTGGTAAGTGCTTTTTTTATTTCAATTAAATTCTATACAATAAAAAAGACCTGCTAAAATTGAGAGAGATATAAAACTGCCTCAAGAAAAAACATACTCGATGAACTTTTTTCTGTGACATTAAAATATATTAAACACATAACTAACATCTTTAGCCTACCTAATTAGATTTACTGTACTTACTTCATACTTAAAAGTTTTCATACTCATTTACATATATGTCAAGTTAAGAGGTCACAAGCTACGCATTTTATTCCTTTCATATGATTTAATATAAGTTAACAAAAAGGGCAAGGCGAAGCGCCATCTGCCATCTGCTGCCATTATTCATATCCTAATTGATTGATTGAGTCATTAACATGTCCATACAAGCACTGAGTACGAATGTAACTGAATAAATTAAACATTTTAATATATAAAATCACAACCTATAATTTTATTTTCAGACGATCCTCCTCCTCGCATTTATCGCCTACACTCAGGCCGGTATCATCGCGCCTGTGGTGCACCCCGTAGTTGCCCACCCCGTGGTGCACTCTGTCCACTCAGTGCACCCAGTCGTGCACCCAGTAGTGCACCACGCCGCTCCCATTGTCCACGCCCCGGTCGTCCACGCTGCGCCCATCGTGCCCATCGTCAAGCACGCACCAGTCATAGCAGTACATCATTAATTTTAAAATTAGAGATGCATTTAAATAAATATTTATAACATGAATTTGTATTAATTTGCGTAACATCCAACTTGAAGAGAATAATCCTAATTTTTTATTGCACTGACCAGACTCAAAGAATTATTTCTTTTATCGCCTTTAAATTATAAGTAAATGATATAAAATTTTCGGGTAAAGGCCCTGAAAACGCATTTCATTTTGCATCATTAATCGAGATATTTAAATTTAATCAAGGTTACAATAACCAATTGCTCTTAAGTCTATCATCCTTGGTTCACTTGGCCGGGACTCCGATGTGTTTGACATTGAAGGGAAGGCAGCTCTCAAATATTTGCAACATTAACGTAAATGATCGCTTCCGTCCCCGGACTGGGGCTAGGATTAACGGAAACCGAACATAAACAAGGGCCCTACCATACCATAGTATTAAAATAAAGCGTATCTTCAAGGATAATTACCAAGGGGTGAGCAGTAATAGGTGCCGGGAGTGCAACCTATCGGCGTAATGGGCTTTTTGTTGAGACTCCCGGAGAGTTCCGGTTCGGATCGTCCTTGATAGTTAAGAACTTCGCTCCTTGTCAAAGTTAACCGAGCGGCGTTTGAAGACGCCGTTTCCACGCTCGTCAACTTCCCTTAAGTGTTCCATTTAACGTTTTCAGTGACGTCAGAAGTCATTCTCATTTGTATTTTGTATTTTAATAAACCTAATTAATACATTTATATTTTTGTTTTAAACCTTTTTTGATAAATAACAAGTAAACGATCGGATTGTAAAGTCTAGTTCACAAATCACAAACCATATTTCTTCTTCAAATAAAAGAAATATGATGAAAACCTACCTATCTAATCATCTAATTTTCTTACATATGTGACCTAGACATGGAAAAAATGCTTACGTGAAACAAATGTGATTTATTTCATTTCTACGTTACGTCAAAACAACGTAAAAATATGACATGTAAGTATAATAAATTTGTTTTGCAGAAACCACTGCTTCAATGTTATTGAAGGTTTCTTGTTGTTATTGTTCCAACGATGGCTGTAAGTTATGTTGTCTGCAAGTTGCGGTGACGTATTAATCAACATGTTCCCAACTTGTTACAGTAACTATACCCTGGGGGTGACATTCAGGGGCGCGTTACGCACGGACCTTGAATTAACTTGTTACGGTTACATGGCTTATTGAAAATAACTATTGAGTAACTACAGTAATAAGGTTTCTCTAATCTTTATTTAATAAGAAAATATTTAATATTTATTTATATTTTATTTATTATTGTAAAGGAAATAATAATAAATAAAAAGCAATTTAAATTATTAATTAAACTCAAGTATAATTCTTCATAAGTGAGAAAATTATTAGTAAAATTTATGGACTGTATATTTTAAATACGACCTTCGGTTTAACTCGTAACGATACGTGCCGAAATCCTAACGGCCCCACTTTATTCTACTCGAGGCAAGAATAAAACAAGTGCTTAGACATCGAAGCTTATCTCTTAACTGACGTGCAAAAACTTTTTGGAAAACTTCTCTACTTCCTCAAGTCCCGAAAGTTATTTCCTTTTTGATACGATGTCAGCATAAACTTTAAATTATTAAGTGTCTGACCTTGTAATCCAGCGTCATGAGAATTAAATAATACGAAATAATTTATTTCAGGTTGGTATTTTGGAAATAAAAAGTTCTGTTGTACGAAAGGGACAGCTCGACCGGTGAAATTCCACGACAACAGACCACAGGCGAAAAGTGGAAGCAATTGCGCGTTTTATCTGTTGAGTGCGCCTGAGGCCTTATCCTTCGTCCTTTTTCCTTTCCCGAGGAAAGAATGTTAGAAGAACTTGAAATTATTAAAAATATTACATACAGCAGTTACATGTCAGATGTACTCGTATAGATGAATAGGAAAAGCTCTGGCGGAGATTGAGGGCACCCCGCACAGTCAAGGCCGCGCTTTGTCTGCCTTGACGGATGGCACTCGCGTCGCCCACATATGTCACGCTCTTACGTGATATATACAGCTGTTTAGTTAATAGGAGCACGTGTATACTTTTACTTTATAGTCTACAAATGAAAATATTTATAATTTTATAAATCATCAACTCGATCGATTACTTGGTTAATCTTTAAGGTGTAACTTTCACTATATCCTTTAAAACCTCAAATTTTCTTAACATGAATTTGATTATGATACAGCGCCTGTAAAAGTTAGAGCTAAAGTAGCGTTGTTTGCAAGTTATTGCTCGTTCGTAAAAGTAGGCGCTACCAACGCCTCCAATATTTTTTTCCTTTACTTAAACGTATAGATAAATGTACAAAATCTTAAATCTTTAAAGTAAAAAAAGTTGTTGGAAATGTCTATTAGCAGGAGTCGTTTCGCTTTTTTAGCGAAATCATGTGGCCACTTGAGTGTTTGCCAGCTTATAATAAAAAAATAATATGTTAATGTATGAAGATTTTCAAAGGTTACTAGATTGCGACTAAAGCACTCCCTTGTGAGTGAACATTTATCATCAAATGTCAAATTTGCTTTGAAATATTCAAAAGATAAACTTTAAGATGGGGTTAAAAATACAATTGAATGATTCAAAAGTTATCAAAATATAATTTTAGATAAAAACTAAGAATAAAATGAAACAAAATCTTTATTAACTATTTAACTAAAGCTTCTCCTAACAGCTTTCTCTAATATCAAATAACCCAAAAAAATAAAGAATTTAAAACTACACAACCAACTCTTCATAAACTCAAAAATCAAAACTTCATGTTTCTAAGACAGCATTTACCCAAGTCATATAACATCCCTTTATTTCATAACAACTTTTGATATCAGGAAAAAAACATAAAACATCTTCCCATAGCAAGAAGTCTTTATAAGTCGATCAATCAAAACCGCCAAACATTTTTTTCCGGAATCTCGCTGATAAATTTTTGGCACGCGAGTCCTTGATTTGCGGCCACCGCGGCGCATTATGCCGCCGTTACCAATGGGCCCCATCACTAGTGGGTCAAGGCAAGGACCAGGTATTCCGGCCTCGCGATCTTTTTACATCATTTATAGTCAATTTGAAATTAATTCGGGAGCAAGTTGTAGGGATCAATAAAATGAACCACATTATAAGATTTTAGAATGAATTCAAAAATATACAAAAAAACTGCAAGAAAATACTTCGTGGAGTGAAAGTTATTTATGTAAAGCTATTAAAACATTACATTGAATTATTGTAAAATACTATAATACATAACAAAATAATAGTACAATCAGGCTACAGAGACACAAAATAAAGTCATGAAACAAAGCGTAAGTTACAGACTTTGAAATTGATGAGCTGTCAGATCAATACTCTATCAATACTCTACGCGCAACCTACGCTGTCATATACATAAGAAAAACAATCGCGTTACGAAACTTACTGTAGCATAATGTTGGCCACACACGTTAGATTTTATATGGAGATTCTTCCTCCATGGTATAACTTACAGGCAAATCATGGCTTCTGTGGCAAAACAGTTGCCGTAGAATTTGAACGCCACGACTCTTATGTAAAAACATAGTTATAAGCCCTATCATTATTTCTGCCAAATCGAAGACACAGTAAATTTGATTATGCCTGTTAGTTAAGTCAGAGTAAAATGGTCATGCAAAACCTAACGTGTGTGGCTTATATAACAGACTGTCGATGTCTCGAGTATACAATAGGTTACGCAACCCGCGTGGTATCGGACCGAGATAAATCTTGTCAATGGCCGAGACCTTGAGTCTGATACACATCTTAATTAATAGTCCCGCTGCCGCTCTATCAATTATATGGGATTATTCTACGGAGATAGCAACTGTTTGTATTTCACGCAAACAAAGCTCTTGAATCAATGCGAGTTAACTGTTCAGTATTAAGAAAGTAACTGACTATGAATCTTGTTTTCTTGTTCATCAATCAGCTGGTCCTTATTAGACAATTATGTAATTGCTTTTAGTTTTTCGCTCTAATTTGGCCACTTCTTTTGCAGAATATATTCGACATTGTTAATAGAATACTTTATGTGTTACGCATTTTTATGACCTTCCACATTTCAAAGATAATACTTAGAAGAATGCATGTAATGATTCTTATCCTATTTCATCTAGTTTTGCCATTTTCCTTAAATTGGTGTTGTGTTATGCTTCTTTTCTAAATGGTGTACTGACCTGTCCAGTGAGACGGCGACGAGACTGTACACGGAGGCGGCGACAGACAATCCTTGGACGTACGGTACCGTCTTGCACATTAGCCAACCCAGCACCCACGCTGCAACAATGAACACATCTTATTAACGTACCTACTAGATTTGATAGTGCAAAAACAAATACTACCTAGTAAATGAGCACTGAAAACAGAAATGAAAAAAAAATACAGAAAGAGAGATTAACAGAAAGAAAAGTAATAAAATAAAAGAACGTATTTATTTAACATAGTTAGAACTTTTATAACGAGATATCTTGCTAATTTTTTATCTTCACAATATTTTTTTTAATTTAAAAATTACAAGAAGAAGGCAATCCATCTTGGATCAATATAAGCTTAAAATCCAGTAAGTCGGTTTGGAAAAAGCATAGGTCGAAGTCGCGCCGCACCTGAGCAACAAGTGCGCGAATCAATATTTACACGGCGGCAGCGGCTGCAGCCACAACTGGGTCAGGTCACTGTACCTGCGACCCGAGGCCTTGCAACCCCCTGCACCTGTCTCTGTCCCACAAAAGCACGCCTGATACGGGCGTCCCTCTCGCCCGTGCCCTTGTAAAGCATTACAACACGAAAGGCGGAAACGATGAAGACGACTCTAATACAATTTGTGCTTTAAAAACGTTAACCAAAGCTATGGTATCGTTTACTCTAATGGATGCATTTGAAGATATCGATTGGAAGTAAAAGATTTGCTTGAACCAAAGCTTTGTATTTCGTTGGATGGAATACTGATACTGTTCGAGTAATCCTTGACCGAGGTCAGTGGTAATGTTAACAGGTGAAATGAAAAGAAATTTTCTATTTGAAAAAAAATTGTTGAAATCGACTACACTCCAAAGTTTGAAAATTACTCTCAATTATTTAATTGATAGGGTAAATCATTAAGTTTTTATTTTTTAAATGTACGTTAGCTTTAATAAATTTGATCTCTACCTGAGCAAATGATGTCTGCGATATTTTATATCAGTTAAACGTACTTAAGTTTTTTTTAGGTTCCATATGTAAACAGATAGTTTCTTGTTAGCGTAGCTGTAAGTTTCGGTTGAGCTGCACACGAGGAAAAAGGTTAGCATAAATTATGTAATTGGGACGTGAAAGAAGCAACGGGCACCGGGTACAGAGCACCGCGGCGCAGTCGATCGATTTCATGATTCGAATACGATTGTGCGCCAGTTCATACGCGGGTCAATAGCTATAGACATGCTATACTATTTACTAAAAACTACAATCAATAATGGAATTTAAATTCTAAATGTGGACGTGCAATTTAAATAAATTCGCGGTAAAACGCAAAGGAGAATTGCAATTGATTTCCCAGTTTTATGACGGATTTACAAGGTTTTAACGAACTTTATAATTTGCATTAAACTTTCTCAAAAAGTCACTTTCATAAGTAGTTTTCAGTTTTACCAAGAGTATAACTTAGGAAAAGGGAAGAGGGAATATGGTTTTATTTCATAATGCATGTAGTGGCGCTGGGCGCAGGGCGAGGAGCGTGGGGCGCGGGGTGGAGGTAGCGATGACCTTGCCCGCCTAATGTTTTAAGGGAAGCTTTTAATGAGGATGAATAAATAATTCCGACCATAACTTGAATGAGAAACTCTCTTTAAAGTAACATTATTACAAGAAATGAATTATTTAGACTTTGGACGCGAGTATTCTTTTAAAACTAGGATGAATTATTCTTAGATAATGAAATATTAATTAAACAAACAGCGAATCTCTTCCGCTACAATATAGAAATTTTCGTGACAAATAGCCTTATCACTATCTAAAGCCAAACAAACCTGGTCTTACTTAAGCGTTTATAAACATTTGTAGTTTTTACATAGGGTAGTAATATCCACTTAAAAAATTTCCACAAACAAACAGTGCATCAAAACGCACCCTATCTCTGCCGGCAGTCTGCGGCCGGCGACCCGTGCCCCAGATCCGGCTGACCCAGTTCCTTCGTGCCCCCCGCGCACCGCGTGCCACCGCCCGTGCCCCGCGTGCCCCCGCTCACCTGCGAGCGATAGCCCCGCGGAAGCAAACCGTCTTCACACTTTTATAGGGTATTGCTGTTTAATATCTTATGCCTGAAGGTCTCACGGAATCGAAGTTTCCCACGAGGGGATTGTTTTAAGAAAACCGATTTTTTGTAAGACATTGCTGGGAAAGTTTGCCTAAACCATAAGTAACGTTACATACCAAAGAAAATTTTTATATTGTTACATTTTGCTGATATGATACTTGAAAACGAAAAGCTTCTTTGAAGCTGGCTTGCTTGATTTCAGGAAAAACAAACTATTTACATCACCATAATAATTTGAAAAATATATTGTTTTCTTAACTTTAAAGATATTATCAAGTAACTGTATTTTGTAAAGGAAAGTCCGCTATCGATTTCCAAGCAAACCCTCCCAGAGAGCGTTATTAACTGCCGGCTAACGAGACGGTCAGCTGTGCGGAAACAATCTTAGCAATTCAGAGGACACTAACACAATCTCAGGCTATTTGGGTCAAGCACTTATGTTCTTCGCTCTATATTTTTAGGTTTTGCTAAGTTTTAAAGCTGTGAACTTTTACATTTTAGGCACGAAGTTATTTTTTCTGAAATAATGCTTTAAAAATCATAATTATTTGAATGAAGAGTGACAACTATCGGGCACAGACGTTCATAATTTATTAATTTACACTTTACTTCAACCATAAAGTTAGTTAAATCAATCGCTAAGATTACACAAACCTATTTAATAAAGTTTTAACAGTTTGTTTGTTCAGTTCAAACTGTGCAGTTAAAACTGAAGGTTTGTAGCGGGCTTTATATAAACATGAGTACAGTTTACATAAGTTCAAAGAAAGGCAAACAACATTTCAATAGCAGGTCCTGACCTAATTCCACGGGCCGTTGTTTAGTTTCCCGCCCTGCCTGAACCTGGGCAAGATAAAGAATGAATTAAACAACAACCTGCCTCTCACCCTGCTCACCGACGCTGTATTTATTCTAAAATTAATGCTAATACTTAGCTTCTGGCACATAAAACGTGGAAGAATATTTTTTAAACATTATATATATATATATATCTTAAGAGCTATTCTTTACGCCGGATGAGTCGATCCACTAACTAACCGTGGATTTCTGAGTCCAAACACACTGTTTAAAACGTATTGTTATCTCTGTGTCGTCAAATATAATGAAAGGGATAGCGACATATCTTATACAGATTTTTGGTATCAGAAACCCACGGTAAGCTTTATTGATTATTTAACTTATTCCATTAAATTTTGTTTTATAATCACATAAAGATTTGCGAAGCATTTCTTTGAGATATTTCCTTTTTATAAGAACGCATACGAGAGTGTGTAATAAAATTTAAGTGGTACTCGATCGAGACATTTACTTAACAGTGACCAACATAACATAAAGCTAAGTCAATGTGACCAACATAACATATCAAATCTCGCTGTATGTGACCTGGATCCTTTAAACAGGCTCCGCTAAGTGATTCTAGCGAGCTTAGATACGAGTAGATCGCCGGCCGAGCTGAAACATTGCCCAATACTGCCCTACTTTCCCTAAACCGCCCTTTTTAGGCCAAAACCAAATATTACCTATAAACTCTGGCAAATGTTAGACTCATTTCCATAATGTACTGACCCTAAATCTTCCGACCAACGAGGGTTAAGAATTTAATATTAATGTACTCTACATAAGTAAGTGTTTACACCTCTTACTTAAATAGTTGATATGTAACTTATTTCACTGCCTTTTAGTAAAATATATTTTAATAAGTTATTATCTTACTAATATTATAAATGAGAATGTTTAGATGGATGGATGGATGTTTGTTTGAAGCTATCTCCGGAACTTCATAGTCTAGGAGACTCAAGTCACACGATAATGCAACTCGTTCGTAACTTTCGAAAAGTTTAGCAATAAAGAATCTTGAACGAAGAAAGCGTTAATAAAACGAAATTGGCGCGAACAACTCAAGTGTCAATAAATGGCGCGAAAAACACAATATGCCCGACCCCGAGGCGAATAAAGGAAGCAATGCAACCTTCGACGTCTATCAAAAACCCACTGCAAGAGATTAAAGGCCCGGCCTTCGGGCGCAGGATATTGGAGTGGAGAGGTCGCGGGAAAGCGAACACACGATTGCATATGAGACGAGAATAATGACAGATCAGAAAGGGCCTCAATCTCTTTACATATTGACATGGAAATAATCTATTCGATTTGTTTTATGAAACGAATGGTTCAAGACTGTTTATATTATGTTAGCAATTTCGTTTTGTATTATTTAAATAAATTCCTAGGCATTTTAATTGATTTCGAAAGTGAATTTTAAACAAATGACGAATGATATCGTATTTTAATCAAGTATCAAATATTACTTTTAGTTAATTTTTAATTAAAATAACAACGATAATATTTGCTAAATAAACTACAATTATAATATATAATATCTCTGGACCATGAAATTTATTTGCTTTGTAAATAAATATGTAAATGTAATAAGATAGTTCCGTATCAGAATGTTAGCTATGATCAAAAAGCGATAAATATCAGATATATGTTAGTCGTCGATGCGTAGAGATGACTCGATCATTCCCTCAGTATTGTGATGGTGATAAGTTAGCGCCTCATCCCATCAATTATGTCTACGAAAGTGACGCGACGTTTTCCTCTTGTGAGGAATTGATTTATGGCATTCCCTTACACAGATTTCGACTTAAGTGATGATATTTGAATCAATTTTATGCCTGTAACTCGATTATTTTATTATCAGTCTTATATACATGGATATGTATTAAAAAAAATATTGAACGAAAAGTTAACACAAGCTGGGTCCGAAAGAAGGTACGATTAATTAAGTACCAACTATGTACGAGTATAATGTAAGTTTAAACTGTAACTCTTCTGTTTCTCAATATTTTTTTAAATACTCACGTTTCTTTGCGGCCATTACTTTTTATATATCAAAAGAATTTCTTGGATTTTTTATTTGTTTACAAAAAACCCCAAAAAAACGATTTTTATATTCGAGGTCCAAAACGTGTCAGGAAACCAGATACTTATTCTGCCCACAGGAGACACAATAAACATCTTTTTGTCTCTATTATTAGAACTTCAAAAGAAACATGTATAAAGGTTTCATTAAATAACAAAACAAATAGACCGAAGTTTTATCTTTTTCTATTTTTAAAAAGTAATTTTAATTTAATCCTCACTAATTTGACGGAGGCGTTTGAACTTTAACTGCTTTGAGATTATTTTTGACAGGGCAATTACGACGTTGAATTTATGCAGTTTTATTAATAGACTTTTATTTATACAATATTAACCAGCGGGCGACACAGGACCGGGCATTGTGGCAATCGATGGGGAAGGCCTACGTCCTGCAGTGGACAAGTTTAGGCTGAATATGATGATGATGATGAACCAGTTGTTACCAGGGGACACTCTGGTTGCCATAGTGGCGAGATTTTATTAGCCATTAAACATATTTATCATAATATATTATAGTATTTTGTTTAGGCTATATTATATATAATTATACAAAACAGACATTATATTAGTATAGTTACCCGTTGTGAATTTATCAACCGTGAAATTAATTACATCACATTATTAATATACCTTATATCTTTCATTAATGTGGGTTTTTATTAATAATGTCTTAGTAAAATATTATTATTCATAACCGATATTTATGTAATAAAAGTATGAGTCATTTTAGAATTCTTCTTAAATGTTTTATTAAATTCGAAACCAAAATCTTTTATCTTTTAAAAGAAGGATTAAAACAAAGATCTTTAGCGAAGAATAAAATTAAATAGAAAAATAATAGCGTATACATGGAATGTAATTTATATCGTCTTAGTTTAACTATTCCAGACTAGAGTATAATCTATTCTTTAATTCCAATTTTAAATATAAACTAAGGGTATTAGGGTTATGTAAAAGAATTGATCTCTAAAAATATTTTTAAAAGTATCCAAAAATCGTCTGAGTCTCTGTTATTAATAAATGGGTTTAGTTTAATTTATTTTCTAATACTGGCCACTTTATTATGGTAAAACGATATACAGAAAAAGAAAAGATAATTCCAAATATTAATTCAAAAAAAAAAACTTTTTTGCCGTAACATCCATTTGATGAATAGTTTATATTCCTTCTATGTTGATTCTGACCTTCAATTGAAGGTAATATTATAAAGTAATATAAGAAAGTACAAATCACCAAATTTAATGGATATCACTCGAACATACATTAAATGTATGAAAGTAAAACACGATCCTTATCAATTCAATGTCCGTTTCCCGGCGGCGGCGCGAGAGGGCAGCACTGCTGAGGTGAGATAAATGGCCCAACTCTGACCTTGAGATTGATATATGTGGGATTTGAAGGCTTTGCAGTGCATTTGATATCGATATCAAACTGGACTTTATATATTACAAAGGTTATTTTTTTTCTGAACGAAAATATTATATTAAATTTTTATTTACATTGCAATAAATTAACCGCTGCCCATAGTCATCTGCAAAACGGAGGAGTAACCTTTAATGGGCAAAGGAGGAGATGTACAAAATTCAGATATACCCTTCCGAGTTTATACAATCCGTAAATTTCCCCTGCCGAATCCATTTCTAATTTAATGTTTCTTTTTATGTAAAATTAACGGGTGGTTTTTTCGTAATATCCACTTAATATTAACTAAAAAGATTGTTTTAAGTGACCAAACATCTTAAGTTAATTAATTAAGTACTCTAAGTAAAGGCGATGTAAGGTAGATGTCGCTGACCGCGGACCTACGCAGATTTCATTTGTTTACAATTTTTGGCCTCTCCTTGATTACTTATCTCGATGATTGATATTGTTAACTTAGCTATTTAAAGACTACTGAACTGGACAAGTTTTTTTTTTATTACTAGGTAGTAATTAATAATAGAAAAACTATATTAAAAATGTTATTAATCTTGATAAATTATAACCGACTTGGTTAATTTCATATACGCAAAAACATCCAACTAATCTTCCAGATTAATTTGATTAGAAATTTTGATAAAAAAAATAATTTTAAAAGCTTAACAAAGTAAACAGTTTAGATTCAATACGAAAAAGGCATCCAAACTTTATCTGCAAGGTCGGACGCAAGCTCTCCCGAGATCGTGACAAATCCCAATTGAGCCAGGACACGACTCCATTGAAATTTACTTTGTATAGCCCGATACGAAGACGTTATCTCTAAAATCCATATAAAATATACTGTATTTCAATTGAGTACTATAAGCAGTGTCTTAAATATAAACAGTTTTTTTCATATGAGGGTTTCAGTGACGAAATACATAAAGTAAAAAGTTTTCACGTTTATCTGCATTTAAGTTATTAAGTTTTTATGTCATTAAGAGCATTAGATTACCCATTAAATCTATACTAAGGGACTCCTTAAACGAATTCAAGAGCAGCAGAAGTAATGTGAAAGGGCTTTTTAAGAACTAAAATATTTCATAATGCGAGATTTAAATAATTGTCTCTACTCTTCAACTATACTTTTGGTCTGATTTCTTTCTCTAATCTCAATGTAGAAACAGATCAAAATTTAACAATAAAATAAGACATTTAAATTTATAACTATGACTTTATAAAGCCAAGATTTTTTTATTTAAAAGTAACAAACACTTGGATTTTGTTTATTTATAAAAGATGCACCGTCGCCAGTGACTTGACACATAATGTACACAGCCAGCGCCAGACACTGTGGCAAACATTTGTGTAAATACAAATATTTGTCAAACTTTGTCATCGCATTCAACATTCTCCAATCAAAGACTAAAATCTAAACCCATACAACCCTAAACAATATCTATCTTATTGCACCGTGAATCTTACCCTTTATTGAGCATGGCACTAAAGATTTTTATATTTAACAATAATAATTCGCCATGATTTCCTTTGCAAATAAACTTAGCCTTTGTTATTCGCTAACTGAACACCTTCCATCGGTAAAAGATTTTTTTAAATCTGTTGAGTAATTTCTGAAATTATTAACAAAGTAACAAAACACAAACAAACGTATCTTTATACTCATTTTGTTAGTGAAGATATGTAACTATAATATGTTTAGGTTTTCAGGGACATCATTAAGTAGGTCTGTTTAGGCCAAACACAAGTATTTGGTTGTAATGGTTTAATAAGCGATAAATACAGAGTTGCAAAAGACAAATTGATCGTTGCGCGTATGCATCGGCGGTCGAAAGCGGAAAACCAAGTGACGTTTCGTGCCACCGCACGTCGGTTCGCACCGGTAGTGGTGTTGCCCGCACCTCAGGCGCGAACATCCTCCCCGGGTTGAACATCTTTGTTCAAAGAAGCAGAGTGATGGGCCCATGGCTGTGGATAAGCAGACGAAAGTGGTTGTAAGGCAAGAGTCATGATGTAAGAGTGGTAAGAAGATTCTAGTCGAAGGGAAGCGGACAGATGTTTTTGTAGCTTCGCAGAACAGTTCTCCCTTTCATCTTCAGTTCTGCCACTCTTGAACCGCCATCGACGCCAGGGTAAATTTTGGTGACTCGTCCCAATGGCCACAGTAGGGGAGGTTGACCTGCTTCCTTCAATAGTACAAGAGTCCCCACAGATAGATTTCCTGTTGAATGGAACCATTTAGTCTTAGTTTGAAGTAAAGAGACGTATTCTTTAGAAAATCGCTTCCAAAAGTGTTGCTTCATATAATTGATTCTTTCGTAACGTTGCAATTGCTCGACCTTCATGTTTGTCACCTGTGGATAAGGTACAGATAAAAGAGATCGTCCGATTAAGAAATGGGAAGGAGTAAGAGCAGATAGGTCAGTGGGATCAGATGAGAGAGGGGTGAGTGGAAGGGAATTCAAAACGGCTTCAATTTGAGTTAGACAAGTGGTAAGTTCCTCATAAGTAAAGTGAGTCATTTGCATCAAGCGCCTAAGATGATATTTTGTCGAACGAACCGCTGCTTCAGCAATGCCGTTGAAATGTGGAGAATATGGAGGGGCAAAGGAAAATTTAATACCCTGCTGAGCGACCTCCGACGGGAGGTTTGAAGTCTGCAAAAATTGTTCCAACTCGTTGGAAACTCCGACAAAGTTCGTTGCATTGTCTGACAGGATGGACTGAGGTTTGCCCCGACGAGCCACGAAACGGTTCAAGGCTGACATGTAGCCTTCCTTAGACAGATCTGTAACAAGCTCAATATGCACAGCCTTGACTGCAAGGCAAACAAAAATACACACATACGATTTTATAAGCTTACACCCTCGTCCTTTCCGGTCAGCTATCAGTATAGGTCCGGCATAGTCGACACTGCAATGTAAAAATGGAAATTCTAAGTTGGTACGAGAAATTGGTAATTGTCCCATGACAGGCTGTATAGTTGTATTTTTATACCTGAAACATCTTAAGCAATTTCTTACGATTATTCTAGAAAGATTTCTGCCCCCTAAGGGCCAATATAATTGACGTATATTTGCTAAGAGCAGTTGAGGTCCTGCGTGCAATAAATCTATGTGATATTTCTGAAATAACATTTTAGTAACGTGATGTTTACTACACAGCAAAATAGGATGTTTTATATTATATTCGTAAGATGAGTTTTCAAGCCTTCCGCCTACACGTATGATACCGTCGCCGTCTATGAACGGACTCAAAGACGAAAGTCTATTCTTACGAGGTAACGATTTACCCTTTTTTAACAAAACGTATTCGTCGGGAAACATATCAATTTGAGCGTTCTGCATTACGCTTTTTAAGGCTTGATCTAATTCATCCTTAGTAGGTAAACCGGTTTGTTTGTTATTTTTGTTTTTAAGATTATATACAAAACGTTGCACATATGACATTACTCTTATAAGACGATTAAAGTTAGAAAATTTATTTATTAAAGATCGAAAACCTGACTCGCAATTCAATCCAGCTGGATTTAATAGTTGTGATGCGTTGTAATGGCAAGTGGATTCGGAAGATGGCAAAACCCTTTCAAATTGTTGTCCAGATTTCTTATAGACAAGTTACAAGACTGCGTAAAATTTGATGTTGACTGTATCGGTAGTTGGCCTGTAACAATCCAACCTAATTTTGATTTGACTAACTTAGGCTTGTTTTTCCCTAGGTTAATTGATTTATTGTATATTACATCCCAGAAAACTTCAGCCCCGACGAGAATATCGACTACTGACGGTATGTTAAACGTAGGGTCAGCTAGATGTAGATCTGTGGGCATCGAAAGTTGACTGACGTCTATAAAAGTAGAAGGAAGTATTTTAGTTATCTCCGGTAATATATAACAATCTATATTCGTTCTATACCTACAACACTGGGACTGGATTGTTAGGTTGCAAGCTTGGGTACTAGTTAACGATTGATTATTAATGCCATTAATTTCAGAACTTACGGAACGTGTAGGTAATTTTAGCTTACTGCAAAGCGACTGCGTTATAAAGTTAGCCGTACTGCCGTTATCGAGTAGAAGCCGTGCGTCCATGCTGTTGCCGTTGTCGTCCATCACTTTCACCATAGCTGTGGACAGTAAAACATGCAAAGAAGTAGTAGGTTGTATGGAAGTATTACTCGACAAAGCAATATTATTTTGATTAGCGCAAGCAATGGATGATGAAGATTGGTGAATAGGCAATGCGACACTAGAACTACTAGGCATCGGGTCTTGAAATGAAGTAGGCTTAGACTCTTCGGTGTGCAAAAGAGTATTATGTTTACTATTGCAATACTTACAATGCGTTAATCGACATCGCTTAGTACCGTGCCCGGGACGTAAACAATTAAAACATATTTTTAATTCCTTTGCCTTTTTTAATCGTTCCTCAACGGTTAAACTACGAAAATATTCGCATGTAAATAAAAGATGATTTTTTGAACATAAAGGACATGACAAATTATAAGATTTCATGTTGTTATTTTTTGACTGTGCAAAGGAACGACTATTATTTATATTTGATGCGACTATATAACTGTTATTTTTCGAAATTGTTTTATTTACATTTGTACTTTGTTTATTTTCTATAGTTTCCAATAAATCAGCTTTGTTACTAATAAATTCGCAAAATTGTTGCAAAGATGGTGGTTTCGATAAGCCATAACGATATTCTTCCCAATGTCTGCCGGTTACGTCGTCTAATTTGTTTGACATGATGTAAACTACAAGCGTATCCCAATGTTGCGTCGGCTCGTTCAATGTTTTTAAGGCTCGAATATTTTTGTTAATTGTATCAAGCAAACGACGTAAACAAAGACTCGATTCTTTAAAAACCTGTTCAACATTGAACAATGCCTGCACGTGATTATGCACTAATTGACGACTATTGTCATATCGATCACATAGCAACTGCCACGCCATTAAATAATTGTCGCCTTTAAAATCTATATTTGAAATAATGTCGAGCGCCGCACCCGAGAGCGAGGCGCGCAGATAGTGGAACTTGCTTATATTATCGATAGAAGCACTACTATGAATTAATGATAAAAATGTGTCCCTATACTCAAGCCAGCACTGATAACTACCATGAAAGCGAGGTAAATCAATTTTGGGTAAGCGAATAAAATTGCCTTGTAATGAGTCACCTGCTTGTTTGCATATCGAGCCTGCAACAGAGCGGCCATCATCCGTTGCCCCTTCACGGCACAACAGACTGCGCGCTTGCGCCATCAGCGCGTAATAACGCTCTTCGAATTTTGAACGTTCCTCATATTCGTCCTCTGGCTTGTCGGAACACACCTCAATCTCCACCTGTAATTCATCGAATTGATCGTATAAGGCCTCGTATTTATTTAGTCGACATTGTAATTCATGTTGAAGTTCGGAAATTATGCCAGAAGCGCTAATTGAGCTAATATAATTAGAAAAATTGGTAAGCTTGGCTTTCATGCCACTACGTTTTCGAATTAAAACATCTAGTTGGGCCATTATTAAATTAAAAGTAAAAAATTATCGATAAGTTATACGACGAAATAAAAAAATATAATGTGGGTACTTCACTATTTGGTAATTAGTCGCTCGTAAATGCGTAAGCGTGAAATTGAACAATTATATTAATACAATAGGAAGCCAATTGAAGAGGATTTAGAAAGGAAAATATGGAACGAACTCACTTTATCTTCCCTTGTCCACACAGTACTTCCTTTGTCTTGATGTTCGATGTTTGATTCCGACGACCGTTGAGCCGATGTCGCGATAATTTGCTGCACTCCGTTCGCTCCAAACGTTTTAAATTAGCGGACTGTACTTTTGTTGATTCTTGAGGCTCGAAGGACCATTTGTTTAGGCCAAACACAAGTATTTGGTTATAATGGTTTAATAAGCGGTAAATACAGAGTTGCAAATAGACAAATTGATCGTTGCGCGTATGCATCGGCGGTCGAAAGCGGAAAACCAAGTGACGTTTCGTGCCACCGCACGTCGGTTCGCACCGGTAGTGGTGTTGCCCGCACCTCAGGCGCGAACAGGTCTGTAGTTCAAAGTGTGGGAGGATATGTGGGAAAACATGTGAAGATAATTTCTACAGCAAATTATTTAGTGTTGTGGCATTTGGGAGCCGTCCAAATGTAAGTTAGTGTGTTCGCGACAAACGACTTTTTAATACTTATTTATGTTAGACATTTGTATATAGACTAGGTTAGCCTGCGGCATCGGCATGTTACTTTTTCATTCGGTCTCTACAGAGTGGCTTCGAGCCTACCCTTAATGTGCTTAGTGTGGGTTGACTTCATATATTTTTTTCGTAGATTTGCACAGGTTGCATCATGATATTTGCCTTTACGAGAAGAACGTCGGATAAATATACTTAAGAAATTCGAAAATCGCAAAACACATTGGTACATAGCGGGGACAGAACCTGGACGTTTTAGATTAGGGTCCGGACCAGCCAAGCGCAAACAACTACACCAAGGACGCTCTCTTCTTTTTCTACTTTTAAAGTACAAGACAGAAAATTTTTCTGGTCTTATAATACAATACACTGTTAAAAAGAACTCAAACAACAACCTCCAAAGTTATTTCATTTCAAAAAGCCAAACGAAGTTTGAAGGATAAAAATATGAGAGCTTAAGTATTATCGACAAGTTATTTAGAAAGCACGTGTTTACAAAGTCAAACATGATTTCGCCCTTTTAGTTGATGACGTCGCCTGTTCTTTTCAAAGGTTGCGCGTGATATTTGCACGTGACGAAGAGGTCGGGACCTTAGTTCGAAGATAGAGGTCAACATAGTTATCGTAGGCATATCTATTCAAATAGTTTACACAAGTTTAAATTTGAAAATAAGACACTTTAACCACATATACGAGTGTAAATGACATTTACCTCTGTCCAGACCGACGCGACCTCGAATCAATCTTCGTTAACGAATACCTTTTGGGATTAGAGATTGCTTTTTCGTGTTATTTTTATTTGCTATTCTAATTTAATTTTAAATCATCTATTTGGATTGATGCAGCACTTCACATTGATAAAATTAATATACTTATATCTATAATTATTTAATTATTTAGGAAAATTGTTTCCCGTATAGAAATACTTGTGGAGTATCGAGTTACAAGTCATTGCAAACGCGGGCTCGTAAATCAGCCATCTACGTCTGTATTTTATATGTGTCGTTGCCATTTTGTTTGGCGATGCTGTTAACATTTCGTCCAGATTATTTGACAAAGTGAATAGTCTACTTTATGTTATGTTATTACATTTGTTTTGATTATCTATCGTAGCTCACGACAAACATTGGTTTAAGTAGTTAAGAAAATATAATTATAAATATTAATACTAAGTATATCAAAATGGATAGAATGGATGTGTTTATTATCTTATTTAAGTAAGCAGACACATTATGCCAAAAGGCCTTTTTTCAAAAAAAAACTTAATCACTTGTTCAACAATCCATCTCCTTGGCTACCCTTGACCTACGCATTGATGTTGAACTGATTTATGTTTTGTTAGAATTTTATTGGCTGTACAGATTTATTGTTGCAAATCCTGTTCCCGCTTAATGCTTTGAAATTCTTCAAAAATGATGTATCCGTTAAATTATGCAGAATATTTTACTATTTTTAATTATTAACTGCTTTTAACTGCTAATTGTAATTATTAAATAGCAATATATATCAAACAAATTGCATAGTCTGTAGACTAGTAGTGTACTATATTTTATATTAATTTATTAAATAAAAAAAAACAATTAGGTAGAGATTATTCAACTTACAGTTCAAAATTTGTACTGTACGTAGCCTGCTGTAGTAACGCAATGACTCACATAGTCCTGTGAAAACGATTATAAATTCATGAGAGGATTTAATAAATAAAGAGTGGCAGATGTCAGCGAACGAGTGGCAAAATTTACAGAAAATCGTGTTAAAAATTAAAACATGCTACAGCGTGTTTTAAGTAACATTTTACAATTATGTTTTCGGGTTTTTCATTATTTTTATAAGATTTATAAAATAAATCATACTATGTGTTACTCTTACTTTTGATTTTTTAATCTTACTTTTGAAATAAGACAAAACAATATCGATTGAAAACTGGAGTACAACCATGTCAATTTAAACCCAATTGATTTAGGGAAGTGATCCTGATTTTAATGTGTGAGTGTATTTGAGGTAGACACACACACACACAAGTGAGGCCGACCTACTTTCCCAAGATTGCTTACATTTCACATATTAAAATAATGAAATCTCAGTTCCCTCTTTACCAATTTCCTTACAACAAACTCGATTCTCCTTTGTTTTACATTTTAAATTATATTACTTGAGGCAAAATTCCGTTCATTGATATTTTAACAATTTTATTACGCGATTTATTTACAGTCCAAATTGTGTTTAAGTCTAGTCAAAAAAGACACCAATTACATTAATCTCATTAATTCAAGGACTTTATTAGCTGCTACAAACACAAATACAACAATCTAGTCGCGCATAGCAACAAATTTTGGCTGAATATATCCGTCCTTCTTGACCCGCTGACCGCATCTATCCCTCTCAAGAAGCCCTCACAACATCTAGGTTATTGAAGACTTAGTTTCGACCACTTAACATCTAACCCAAGCGAGTTATAACTATAACATTTTCAAAAGATTATCCTGTATAAAATATAACCAAGATATTTAAATATATAGGTTGTTTAGGAGCGATTGCAGTAGTAGTAGTAATAGTAGCAAAAAGCAAAGCATCCCAGGAGCATTAGTTCCGTGTCGCGTGTACATTAGGAATGGCAGTTGTAGCAGAGTGGTGTGCGCCGTGCGGTCGACATCGATCGAGTGCAGCTGACCGGGTCAGGGGACGTTGCTACTGCCGCCGTCGTCGCTCAACATGCGATTGCACACATTTCTTGCACCGATACCTTAAATCTCAACGTTAACATAGAGCTATGACAATCCTTGAAAAGGATCATGTTAGTTTAGCCCAAAAGGTACCGAAACAAGCTTTCTTGAATATTCCAAAGCTTTGTTTTCCACTAAGAATATAAAGAATGTGATTCCTAGATTAAAGAATTAAATCAAAGTTTAGGATCTCATATAGCCTGGTCTTCGTAATTAACTTGGCAACAGAACTACATACTTCTAATTAAGTCTTCCTCTAACGTATGAAATGCCTGTAATAAGTAGTTGATGGATAAGTTTTGAAGTAAGAAGTGAAGGCATTGAACTAAGGCCATTGCCCGAAACATTCGTCATAAGATTAAAAGCTAAGTAATTACAAAGTTCGAAAGCGAAGTGATAGAAAATTTCAAAACTTTCATTGTCTATGAGCGCATTTCGCTAAGAAAGGGGCAATTTCATCTCCTCTGTCATATAAATCATGTGAATACTAAAAGAGATTAGTGGTAAGTGACACAAGTTACTTACTTAATCTACAGATCATTTAACTTAACGTTTAAAATCAAAGAACTAAACAGTAATCATATAAAGTTAAAAAATGTATGTTTTTAATGAAAACATATTTTGAAGCTTAAACAGAGTTGTTTTTCTAAAGAGAAAACTGCTTGAAAAATACTTTATCGACTTAGTAACATATAAAATGAAAAACTCAAGCTTCGATCTCAAGCAAGTGTACATCATTAAGTGAATACGAATAAGATAGAGTTAACTACATTTAGACAGGATTTTGAAATTTTGTCTTCAAAATTAAGTAGAACTATTTTTATCTACGTGTAATTGAATTTCACAATGAAATATCCTTTTCATTTTTAATGTACTTTTACTCAATCATTACGTAATCACCAAGGGATTCTGCTGCGTTTCTTAAAAACTTTTATAATGGCCTGTCAAATTCAGCTGAGATCAGTACAGTTTCTAGGAGTTACGCTTTTAAACTAATTCTTCAGCTGCAGCAAAGTGAATTTTGAATTAAACGCTTCATATGTCAAAATCGTTTGAAATTTTTTATGACAACTCTCATTCGTTGTCTGAGAAAACATTTTGAGTAACAAAACATTGTAAAAGAGGGATTTACGATTGCGTACGCTTGTATGAACGTCATTTTTATTACTTAGGCATGAGTACGTGATAAAATCAGATTTGATGAGATGAAACATACGTTGTTATGTAACATCGAATTTGTAATAATTTTAGTAATATTTATTCTTTTTATTTAATGTTATAAGATCGATTTTATGTAATTTTAAGCAATATATAAATGCTATTTATTTAGTCAGGAGATTGTCGAAGTTCATTTAACTATTCTCTTACTCTTTTCTATTACCGTTTATGTTTATAAAAGCTATAACATATACAGATTATGTATATTATTCTGTCATATCTAGTACGTTGTTAGGCCGCATTCCCCGCATTTCTCAGGCTATTACTCGCTGGAAGCTGTAACGAGCGCTTTACGATATGTTTTCGAGATAAATTCACTTATTTACATCACATGAGAGCCTCTCTTATTAATGATTGTACGGAAAAGCATCGTATATTTCTTAGATTCGACGACAGTTATAACAAAATATGTGTTGGTTTTTATTATTTTTTGCAATTTTATGGAGCATTTATTACTGAGTAACATTGCTTTAGGTAAAAATCAACCCATATAAGTTAAAGGAAAATATATTTTTTAAAATAATCGATGCAACGCT